AGGATCCCTTTGAATATATTGAGTACAACTTAAATTCATGATAAGTGTTTTAACATAGAGCCAATTTAATGATCTATGATTCCATTGTTTGCATGTAAACCAACAGTGTAATTGGTAATATCTTTTTTTGTTAAATGCTCGGTCGACCACGAAAAATGCCATGTGAGCCTCAAATGGAAAATATCACATGAAATCCATCTTTCATTGTACTATTCAAATTGTAACTGAAAATTTCATGCATATAATTGACAAAGCTTGTAGTTGAAAGACGCAAGTAACATTGTGTCCCGAACCAAAAATATATTTGATAATTTTCTCAAAGTCAGATTGCCAATATTGGTCGATGTCCCACTTGCAATATAGTTTGGCTCCATTTTTCACTATGCAAATATTATAATTTGGTAATATATTTTTCTTTCTTTCATTATGAAACACTAAATTTACTTCAAAATTATCGACCATCTATTCTCAAAATTGTTTGTAAAGTACATATTCTTAGGATATTGATCCAACAATAATATTAGAGGAATTATACACTTCTGAACTTGGATCCCCAACTTCTACATATCAGTGTATAGAATAGAAGTGATGCCTATGAAATCGATTTCAAGAGTTATGGAGGTAACATAAGAAACTCCAAATAGTTGATCAGGGCCATGGAGTCAATGTGTAATTTACACATAATAATGATACAAGAAATTAAGTCTGTCGTGGTGGGTGGGTGGGCAGTTGACTGACTTGTGGTGTTTGTGGTGTTTTGTGGTGTTTGGTGTTTTGGTTGTTGGAGGAAGAGAGGGTTGCTCTCTTGCAACTCAAAGCTTAGATAAACTACCCCAATGGAACTTCTTTGCCATCTTGGGAGGACACATTAGAAGGTAATAATAGTAAGGAGAGTGACTGTTGCTATTGTTGGTGTGGATCTCTACAATATGACAAAATTGATTATTGAGATTTTGGAATGATATTAAACTTAGAATTATTCTAAACAGAAACATTTAAATCTGTTTATGCAATTAAGAGCAAAACAGTAACATTCAAGAAAAATTAGTAACATTTAAAACTGCAATAAATAACTTCTCAATTTACATATCAGGAACGGAAAATTGAATTTTATAAATCAAAGCTAGTATTTGATACTATATCTTTAAGACAAATTTCGTGTCATACTATTGTTTAAGAAAATCATAACGTCTGTCTATCAAAATACAATAATCTTAATGCAATTGAAAGTAACATTTCAATTCAATTGTCCAATTGATAAGAATTGTGTTGTGTACTTTAAAAAAAATAAAGACTCCTAATGCAAAGATTTATGAATGTAATGATTGCCTTAATTTATAATATTGTAAAGAAGTTAGTGCAAAATGCTAATGAATTTTAGTTATTTATAGACAAAATAATGACTATTTTGGACAGCCACCATAGCCGATTCAACCCACAAAACACCATTAAGGTATGCCTAATAAGAATAGACCCGAAATTCAAATTTAAAAGTAGAGGGAAGTTAAAAGTCAAACTAGTGCAAATTTGAATTCTAAGAGACAAAATTTGGATTAATAATTTTGGACACAATTCATAAAGGAATTTTTTCCAAAAAAATAAGGTTGGTTCTAATTTTTTTATTGTAAAATAACATACTAAAGTTGTAAAAACACTCATTGAAGTAATACATTAATTGTAGAGGTATGATATCGAATTTTTTTTTAACTACCGTAGTCAAGTCCTTATTTTAAGGTTGGTTCTAAACCAAAAAGATAAGGTTGGTTCTAATTTTTTTGAGTACTGCTACAAAACTCAAATGAAATTCAAAAAATTACAACCCAAATAAATATCATCTATTAAATAAGTGGATCTCATCAATTTTTTTAGTGAGACTCCCTTATCTCACACTCATCCAAGGGATAATATTCATTTGACTTTTAATTCTTAGATTTCACTTAGATTATGATACCGAATTTTTTTAACTACTGTAGTCAAGTCCTTATTTTGGATTCAAAGTATTACCACAAACTGTGGAATTTGTAGAGTAGATTTAACTTTTCTTTCTAATTTGTTTCTTTCTATGAGTCATGCGTGGGGTACGTTTGATCATTAATGTCAATCTCATAATAAAGAATGATAACGTTACTAAATAAAGTCACTAAATAAGCTCAATGTAGTATTGATAGCTTAATATTGAGTCAATTTAAAAGAAGTAAACCTCACTCTCCTTATCACTATGCCAACATTATAATCTGGTAATCTTTTTTTCTTTTTTTTTTCTTTGTTGACCATTTAAAAATGCTGTAGGGTCAGTCGACCCCATCTACAAGAATTTAGCTCTGCCGTATTAGGTAGGTTGTTGACTGACTTGTGCATGACCCCACCAACAAGCAACACATGAATTTTGCTTTGGTAACAATTGATAGTAAAAATAATACAATAAAATAAATTATAAAAAGAATTTACTTAAAGATGTCACGCTTTCATGAAATGTAAAAAAGAAGGTATGACACCAAAAGTATGAATAAATTTCTTTATTAAGTTTATTCTTAAATAATTTCTTTGTAAGGAGTAAGCAACATAATTTATTTGGGATTCATTCACCTAAAGGTCCTATCTATTTGGGATCCAAAACTAAGAATTTATTGTGGATCCGAGTCTCATTTATGATATATTCGAATATATTGAGTCTCATTTAAATTCATGAGAAATATTTAATTTTGAGTATATTTAATATTAAAAATTTGAATTCCATTTTCGGCTATATAAATTGACGAGTATTATAATTGGTGATACCACTAACAAACCATTCAAAAAGATATCAAAAAATTTGGGGATGTAATTGACGTCTACTTTTGTTGTGGGAGAAAACTAGAATTGCCAGTGGAGCCAAAAATATATTTAATTAGTTTTTTCAACTTTAGATCACTAATGTTGATGAATGAGCCATTTGAATAAAATCTACTAATAAGGTCTCAGGTCTCATTTTTATTGTTGGAAAGTGTTTAAAATTTAGTCAATTTAACAGAACTAAACCTCACTCCCATTTTCACTATGCAAACATTATAATTTGGTTATATCTTTTTCTTGTTCTTTTTTTCTTTCATGTTTCACTGTGCATACTGGCCTCGAATTTAGCTTTTCCGTGTTAGGGGGGTTGTGGACTGACTTGTGCACGACTGGTCTTGAGTCAAGATTTTGAGAGCTTGGCCTGCTACTTCTCCAAAGGCATCACCCCTCTATTTAATCTGATAGCACTTTGCCAAGAAACACAAGCAAAAACATATCAGCAAATAAATATGAAGGAATCAAAGGGTTTGGAGTGGTGGGTGGTAATGTTAGCTTTGATATGGCTTTGTGGTGTTGGGTGTTTTGGTTTTTGGGAGGAAGAGAGGGTTGCTCTCTTGCAACTCAAAGCTTCCATAAACTACCCAAATGGACCTTCTTTGCCATCTTGGGAGGATAGAGTGGAAGTTTATAACAGTATGGTGAGCGACTGTTGTTATTGGGAAGGAGTTGAATGCAACGAGACCACATCTCATGTAATTAAGCTTTTCCTTAACTCTACAAGGGATGGGTCTTTAGGAGATTGGTATTTCAATGCCTCTTTGTTTCTTCCCTTTAAAGAGCTCCGAAATCTTGACTTATCTAATAACCAGCTTGTTGGTTGGGTCGCAAATGAAGGTCTAGATTTTCCTGCTTAGCAAAATAATAAGCATGTGGTGTTCTTAATATGTTAATTAGGGAATTTTTTTTTATTTTATCCAAAAGTAAAATTCTTAACAGGTTTCGAAAGATTATTTGTGTTGAGCAAGCTGGAGGTTCTTCGGTTGGATTCCAATTATTTCAATAACAGCATCCTATCATCTCTAGGATTGGTTTCGTCACTTCAGAGACTATACATAAGACACAACTATTTGAATGGATCTATTCACCTGCAAGGTATGAAAGAGATTTTAACAACATTTATTTATGTACGAGAATTGCAATAAATGGCCTTTTCTCCACTGCTTCTGCTTGGAACCATATCAAGGGAACCAGTCCAAAAACCTCTTGGTCCAAGCTTCCCTGGTACAGTCAATCCATCCCGAGAATGAGCTTCATTCTTTGGTTGGCCATCAAGCAAAGGCTCTCTACCAAGAATAGAATTCATGATCCTTATAACTAGACTAGCTTGGAATGCATGGTTTGGAGGCGTCACCCTGAATCCCACTTTCACCTCTTCTTTGAACGTGTCTATTCCTTTTAATTGATGGCTTTAAGTGCATAGTAGATTGCATCCCGTGTATTTAATTTATTTTTTTAAACTGTGTTTCAAAATTGACGAAGACATGTTATTAGTGCTCTCTAAAATTCTAACTTCTTATTCCTAATTTTTGGAAAATTGGATACAAAGTTCTATCATCCAAACAACTTTTCTTATTTTTTTTTCATATCCAAAAATAAAAAAATTGTTTTACAGATGCAAACCAAACAAGACTTTTAACAATAATTATTTCTCAACCTAAAATCCAATGAAAGAATGCAGAAGACAAAGAAATCAGTAAGCTTACAGACTGAAGTAATAAAATACTAATGAACTTACACTCTTACAGATCACGAATAATTGTTGTTTTATATGCAGACTTTCCTGCTACGAGCAACCTGGAAGAGCTGGACTTGAGTTATAACGGAAATATTACCAGCCTCACTACCATGATAGGTATAGATGATTTGTCGAAGGATATGTTGTTTTCGTTCTCTTCATGTGCAGGATTGAATTGGAACTACAGTATAGATCATAACAGTGTAATATTTTGCATTCAGGTATGAAGAGCTTAAACAAGCTTCAAGTTCTTAGCATGGAAGGCATCATATTTAATGCAAGTGTTTTACATTCACTAGGTGCATTGCCATCTCTTAGGAAGTTAATCCTTGCAGTAGAAGGATTGGTCACCAAAAAAGGTAATGACGACGACTTAATAATATTTTCTGCAGTTCCTTCCTCCCTTTTGTTACGGTTAATTAAAATATTTACATTAAGGCATTATCTGCAGTAACTTATACACTAATCAGTCCAGTTGGTATATGTGACGTGATGGATACTCAGGAGCATTGGTTTAAAAAAAAAAAATACTTTGTTACACTTTTAGAAAAAAGGTGTATATCATCATATTGAAGCTCTTAATTTCAGAATTTAGCCCTTTATTTCTTATTTAAACAAACTTAAACTTGAACCCAAACACCTGTATCATTATCAATACACGCGCACATAACATAACCACAGACGCAACTACACATAGGCACTTGAGCACACACATACACCACTGTCCTCTCTCTCTCTCTCCCTCTCTCTAACACACTGTCCTCCCATCTTCTTCTTCTTCTACAGCATCCGCCTCTTGTTGCTCATTTTGTTGCAGTTGTTCATAGACACTGAGAGAAGAACACCTGGACATAATCTTACAAACACATGCACACATAATTTTTTTTATCTCTCTCTCTCTTTCTATAACTCAACTAAAATTTGTAGATCCCTTGAGATGTAGTGGTTCAAAACCTAATTTCTAGTGCTTAATTTCCTTGAATTTTAACTGAGAACTCGTAAACTTAAAGAGACCAAAACCTAGCTAGTGCATGATTCAGAAGTGAAATTTGTGCAAATTTCTTTAATTCGGATGAAAGTTAAGATTCAAGTATTTTTTTAGGAGGAAAGCTAGAGAGAAATAAAAATCAAATCTAGCTTAATGCTATGGTTTTATTGTAACCATTGGATTAATACATATAATGAATTATGCCAGTAAATTAGGTCAATAAATTTGTCACGCCCCTGCCCCGGATCACGTAGGGTGGAAAACGAACCAGCCACCAAATTCTTAACCAACTAACCATGTGCATAATAAATGTAAAGTATAATGGAAGACATATATTAAAATGATTCATTCCACACATCTAATGAATACCAAAAAAATAAACTAAAAATTATCCAATATCATTATTAAACCCATGTAAAACCATAATCAAACTATAAGATTTACAAACTCCAAACATAAACAACATTATTCCTAAAATAATTAAATAATTGTTTTAAAATCATAAACGATACTTATTCTTAAAGACTTACAATAGAATAAATCTTCAAGTCCCCTAAGTCCTTGTTTGTCAATAGACTTACTCTTCACCCTGATGCTCACCTAGAAAAATTTTTGTATGAGCACAGGAACCCTTGAATAGAAATCACTTCTAATGAGGAGTGAAAATATGTCTCACTGTTTATATAAAAGAAATAAATTTTTATACATACTTAAGTACAACAAATTGTACCACAGCCCTTCTTACATAATCATTTACACAAAATGATATCATATTCACAAATATCTATACAAAAGAAAATATATTTATAGCTCAAACACCCACACACACTCAATTTCAAATACATTTGTTATCTTTAGCCCGATAGTTAAGCTTCGTCTCATGTTTGTTACCACTAGTTTGATAATTGGCCCAATCGTTTGTCATCGTTAGCCTGATGAATGACCTCTATGTGTACATCCTTCTACCGATCACACCAGTATTCCTTCAATATCATTACTATTTAGACCTAGTAACCCAGTTCTCATATCACAAAACATGATTTTAACATACACACACCAGAACTATTGTTTAAGTCCCAACGCACATAAAATTATCCCACACATTTTCAAAGTTAACATGTGTAACAAATCACAATTGGAATAATTAATTATAAAAAATTTAGTTCCAACCCCAAATATCAACATATATAGCATATATTTGAAATATCCATACACACATACACCCACAAGTTTAATATAGAAAATTCTTCCAAAAGAAGTAATAAAGTACTCACATTGATTCTCATATTCCAATTCAAACCCCTCTCTCCCAATCTCAATGTAATTACTACCTAATCCAAAATAACATGTAATGATTAATCACTATTTATAAATTCATAATTTTGCGATTTTATATTTAATTTTTATACTTCTTACCCATTGACATATCTTTATATATCATTTGCATATAAATAAAATTTTAATATGAGATAATAGGGTATGCAAGTAGTATAGGTAATTTAAAAAAAATTTAAAAGTTTTGGGGTCAAATCATAATTTTTGAAATGTTTTTAGGTCAAAATATATTTTCCTTGAAAACCGAATTTTCTATTTTTGGTGCGACCATACAATTTTCCAGCATTTTATTGTTCCAACTTACCAACTAAAAGGTGGCCAGAATTAAATTTATAAGAATCTAGGGGTTAATATAAAATGCATTGAAATTAAATGGGGTGTCCTGTAATTTTTGAGTTTTCATTTTCTTCCTCCATGAGATTCCCAGATTCTCATATTCTGCAAATGCAAAAGTCCAACCTCCCTTTTTTTTTTCTTTCCAACACAATTTAAATTTATAGTTATTTTTGAAATTATCTAACTAAACAAGTTCTTCGTCTCCGAAATACTTTTTAAAAATTATTTTTAGATATTATTTTTAGAGACGCAAATCAAACTGCCCCTAATTTTCCACGGAACCATGTTTTTTTTTTTTGAGCAAAACAAGGAACCATGTTTGACTCCACTTTATATGGCCCTCCCAAGTTTTCACAATTATACCTCACCCCCTTAAATTGTGGCCATCTTATATATTGTACCATTGAACATTCAAGGCAATTCTGTGGATTATTTTTGTCGAAAAAATAACAGTCTATGAAAAATCAAATTTAAATAAGTTGTAAAAAAATTGATAAATTAAATGATTAGTTATGTTATGTGTTAAATTCAATAGTCGATGAATAAAATGATATAAGAGTCATAATTTATCGATATATTACATGTATAAGATTCAAATCAAATATAATATGAATTTAAGAGAGATACGTATTATTCGTCTCGTTTTGTTTAGTTTTCATAATTTAAAAAGACATAACGTGATTTACTGCTACTCGAGCAATCATGTGATAAAATTGGGCTTAAATTGGATTAAACGCTATCCAATTCTAAACAACTATAAATTTAAATTCTGCTTAATAACTTCTAAAATTAACGAGGTATTGTATATATGTATCAGTTATAACTCGTGCATGAAGACATGATAAAACACAAGTATCAAGCATTCAAAAAATTGATCCCACTATACAAAATAATAATTTTTTATTTCTTTGTTTCTTTTATTACATCAATTAAAATTAATTTTTACCTATTATTTTTTTTAAAATAGCGTCAAAATTTTGTAGAACTCGGAATTTTTTTTTTAACACGTGTACACTATTGTGTATGAATAAAGTATGAAATAAAATTTATGTTAAATTACAAATTAATCACCTTGGGTTTTACAAAATTAGGTCTCAATATCGTTGCTCTTTTTTTGATTAATACTATTGGGACATAAATAACTGAACTGCATAATGATGTGTCAAGAGATTTAGTCCAAATGGAAAAGTCTAAAAGTTATAATTACAACAATACTATTGATAAATTTAGAAATTACTCCTATTAGAGCATTTCCAACTTTGACTTAAATTTGGGTCAATATTTGAGTAAAAAGTTTGATTTAATACAAAATAGTCTAATGAAAAAACTCAAATTTAAAAGAAGATAAACCCAAATTTAAAGATTTAAGTCTTCCTTGATTTAAGTAAAATATTGAGTATCTCTTAACTTGGTATGAATTTGGATATAATATTGGAGAAAGATTTTAGGAATTTAAATTTGGGTTAAAAATGAGTAAAGGACGGAAATTAACAGATGTGTTTTTTAAATTTTAATAATCAACTCTTTTTTTTTCATAATTCAAAAAGAGGGATTATCATTTGCTTATCTGCCATATGACTAACAGTTCTACTAGATACGAATGCATTACGTATTTTGATTTCTTAATTTTGTTTCTTCTTATTTTCAAAACAGAGTTGAGGGGTCTGAACAACTTGGAGCATTTAATTTTGGATTATTCATCCATCAATGGGAGTTTTCTTCATAACGCTGGAGTGATGACTTCTCTAAGGGTTTTGTCATTGTCTAAATGTGGACTTCGTGGCAGTCTACCTGCTCAAGGTATATATATGAGTTTATTCATGAATTGTTGCTTCGATGTTGAATCTTTAAAATAGGATCCTCAAATTTTTTTACATGTCACTAACAAAATTAATTTTTAATTTATATGAATCACAACAACTCATGCTAGGCGGCATTACTTCTTTTATTTTACAGGATTTTGCGATCTTAAGAACCTTGAAGAGCTATACCTTGATGACAATGATTTTGAGGGGATATTTCCTTCATGTATGGGAAACTTGACATCGCTTCGAGCATTGGATCTCTCTTCCAATAACTTGCATGGAAGTGTTGCCCACTCTCCCCTTACTATTCTCACTTCACTTGAATACCTTTCCCTTTCAGATAATCACTTCATGATTCCATTCTCATTTGCCTCATTTTCTAACCATTCAAAGCTTGAGGTCATTTTAAGTGATAATAACGTAGCAACGATTGAAAATGAATCTCAATCATGGATCCCGAGATTTCAACTGAAGTTTTTTAGTTTGTCAAATTGTGCCATTAAAACACTACCTTCTTTCCTGTATTACCAAAATGAGATGATAGCTGTTGATCTCTCCCACAACAACTTATTGGGGAAGTTCCCCACCTGGTTGTTAGAGAATAATACGAGATTGGAATTACTTAACCTAGAGAATAACTCTTTAATGGGGTCTTTTCAAATGCCTTCTTATCCTAATCCTCACATTTCACAATTAGATGTTTCAGAAAATCACATAAATGGTCAAATTCCTATAAATTTAGATATGATCTTTCCAAGCTTGGAGTTTGTCGACATGTCCAATAATATGATTGATGGTCGTATTCCTCCTAGTTTTGGCAATCTCAGTTCTTTACTGGCCATAGACTTATCTCATAATCGTTTATCTGGAAGAATACCAGAACATCTGCAAATGGGTCTTTCCTCCTTGGAGTTTCTCAAACTATCAAATAATTACTTGCATGGTCAAATATTTGGCAATCTTCTCAACATGGGTCAATTGTGGGTGTTACATTTGGACAACAATCACTTTCTTGGAAACATACCAGACTGCTTATCAAATGCCTCTACGTTGAGCACGGTCGATATTTCTAATAACCATTTGTCTGGCTTCCTTCCTCAGTGGATCGGGAATGTATCGTCTTTAAGGCAAATAAGTTTGGCCAAAAATCACTTTGAAGGCCCCATTCCATTGGGATTTTGCAAACTTAATTTTCTTCCGTTTTTGGATTTATCTGAGAATAACTTGTCAGGCTCTGTGCCAGCTTGCTTCAACCCTTCATCCATAATGCATCTCCATCTGAATAAGAATAGATTGAGTGGTCCATTGAATCTTTCATTCTATGATAACTCCAATTTGGTGACATTAGACCTTGGAGACAACAGGTTTACTGGTGAAATCCCGAATTGGATAGGCAAACTTTCTGGATTGAGGGTTCTTATCTTGAAACGTAACAATTTTGGAGGCAGCATTCCCAGTCAATTATGCCACTTGAAACAATTAAGCATGATTGATCTTTCTCAGAATAGACTTTCTGGTCCTATTCCTCATTGCCTGTCTAACATCACTTGTGAGCCGAGCTTTGAAAAATCTTATTTATTTTTGGGACAAATTGAGCTTCTTTATCCAAGGGAATTACCATTTTCAATCATGGGAATTAATAGATATTTTGATTTTCAATTTAATTCCTATTTTGTTGAAATGTCGAATGCCAAAGAAACTGTGGAGTTCACAACAAAGAATAGTACCTATCCATATCAGGGCGCTGTCCTTGATTTGATTTCAGGGATTGATTTCTCTTGCAACGAATTAACTGGTACTATACCACCAGAAATTGGGAACTTAAGTGAGCTCTTCTTGTTAAATCTGTCGCATAACAATCTCCTTGGATCCATTCCGGCATCGTTGTCCAACCTAAGTCATATTGAGAGTTTAGATCTTTCCTATAACAACTTGACCGGGAGTATCCCCTCCGAATTGATTAAGTTGAACTTCTTGGAGGTCTTCAGTGTCGCCTACAACAATTTATCAGGTAAAACTCCAGATTTGAAAGCTCAGTTTGCTACCTTCAGCGAGAGTAGTTACGAGGGAAATCCTTATCTTTGTGGACCTCCATCACATAACAATTGTACTGATGTCCGAGCACCATCGTCAATTCCAAAAGATTCAGAGGATGAGCAAAATGATGGTGGTTTCACTGACATGGATGTATTTCATGTGAGCTTTTTAGTGTCTTATATCATGTTGTTATTAGGAACTTTAGCAGTTCTTTATGTGAACCCTCCTTGGCAAAGGGCATGGCTCCATTTGGTTGAAGCATGTATGACCTCTTGCTACTATTTTGTTATTGACAGTTTTCATAAGTTGTTCAACCGCAACATTGTGTGACCCATTAGCTAGATTTTTATGTGTACTCTTTCAATAAAAGCACTGTACTATTTTAAAGTTTTCAGTAGATAATGGTTTCAGTTTATGTACTTCTATCATTAGGTTATGTTATGCATTTTACTTATGTAGTCATGAGAGTAAAAGGAAGAGCTCCAAAAGAGTTCAATGTGTTCCCTCAATAAACCAATGGATAACTTAAATGAAAATTTAAGTTATTGTATAGCTTGCCTACATTACCTTTTAATCCCAAGTAGTAATGTTCAAAAACACTTTACTTTCGTAAAGTTCAAAAATATACTCATACTTTGTGTTTTTGGACCAACATATAATTGATTCCCGAAGTGAAATAGGTAAAAGTCATTTGATTTACTTTCTATAAATATATAAAACCAATGCCTTCTTTAATCCTAATTTTAGTTCCAAGTACATAGTGCAAACACATATTTTCCAAAGTTAATACATTTTTATTTCGACAATAGACCGAAACTAACTTTTTGCATTGCCCCTTTTTTGTCACCCTATTTGTCAAAACAAAAATCAAATTTTCTTGTGTGATGAGTCAGTCAATTAGTCATAATCATTAGCATGATTTGACCTTCGATTTATCTCAATCCTATTATTGAGGAATATGAATGTTCTGTCATCCTATATATATTGGTATTCCCCTACCACAGAAAGCACATTCCACTAAAAATTTTACTAGGTAACAATCCGAAATTCATCACTAAAAGAACTTTGCTACAAATTTTTTTGTTGCAATGTTTGTTGGAGGGAGCCCCTAGCTAAGTGCCGGCGAAATTTAATCATAGGTTAAAGTTGAGTTTTTTCATGGAAAATTTTTGCTGGTGGCAACTTTTGCCTAAGAAAATATATTCTAAGGTAAAAAGGGTTGCCTTCAACATAATCTTTCCCTATGAAAATTTTTCCCTGGTAAAAATTGTATTATTTAAAAAAAAAAAACACTAAATGAGTTAATACCAATTAAACTACCCAAAAACAAACTAAATGAATTTATACCCCCAGGACTTCAAAAACAAACCAAGAATGCAAATAAAGATCATCAAAAATAGTGCACAATACTTCATAACCGACTCTTGGTAGAAATCTTACCTAAAAAAAATCTTTGCACAAAACTTAAGCAAAATAATGCGTAGTGTCTTATGCATTACAAAAGAACTCATGGAGATTTCCCATTTTGATAGTCTGTATCAATTTCCACAATGGTGTGGCCAAGCGCTTGAATGCCAAAAAGTTAGTTGTCAATGCTTTTACATTTGTACTACTTCACATTCCTCTTTAACATTGTCAATTATAAATGACTTACAAACATCACTGCTAATTACCTAAGACAATGGCAAATATATGTTCAAGTTTTAGCTATGGGGAAAATAAAGGAAACTGGGTATAAAGTTGGAAATGGCTTAAACACATTTCCCTTGTTGGACCCTTGGTACTCTAGGGGGATCATTCAGTAGGTCTGGGGTTTTGAACATGGTGAAAAATTCAAGCCTTGAGAGAGAAGCAAAAGTTTGTAGCATAGTGGGAACTTATGGATGGGTATGGCGTAAGCACGAGAATGCTGAAATTAAGGAAGTTCTTAACACCATTCCATCAACTTTTAGGCTTGGTCTGGTTGCTATAGATAGTGTGAAATGGATGTCCTCAACCATTTTTTGCACCAAATCTGCATGGGAATGCTTTAGATTCAAGCAGAAACAACAAAGATGGTCACATATTGTATGGTTTCATGTTACCATTCCTAGGCACAACTTCATTATGTGTCTTGCAGGAAGAAAGAGATCAACTATAGAATCAAGATATACTTCTGCTATATGGCATCATTTCTAAGGCTATTTGTGTCTTTCGTAGAGGTGGGGCAGAGACACAACCATCTCTAATTTGAATATCCATTGTAGAGTCAGTAAGGTCCTTGTAATCTTTCAGATATTGAATAAAATCTTTAATATTGCATCTTTATTGATATCTTTCTTCAATTGTCATTTCCTAAAACCTTAGTCTGTCTTTCCTCAATGCCAAAAAGAGAGGTGAAGGATATTAGGTTATAGTGAGAGTAAAAGGAACTATGAAAGCCAGGAGGTGCCATGAAGATTGTTCTAGTAGCTCAAAGACGAGTCTTATAATCTAGCTTGAGACACGGGAACAGAAAGCAGGCTTCAGGAAGGAATGACAAATGAGGAGGAAGCGAGGTGGACTATACAATCAATATGTGATTTTGATTATTTTCATGTTAATATTAGATTTGAGCTTTAGCATAATCTGAATACATTAGAAAGGGAGATCAAAACATTAGAAAAACAAAAACATGAACTAGAATCATGACCAACAACTTTATTTAACTTAAGAATAGTTAATCTTTGAATTAGAGATAAATTATCAAAAACTTAGAAGCCAACCAAAAGCTTTGTATTGGATAGTATAGTATTTTAGAATAGATACTATATTAGTTTAAATATACGGGGCAATAGCATAATTTTGTCATTGGGAAGTAATTTCCAAAGTACCCTTACCTGTGTTTGTTTGGGGGATTGCTATGCATGGGATTGTGAAATAAATTCTTTCCATTTCCAATGTCTATGTAAAGTAGTAATGGTAATAAAAAGTAAACATGTTTAAAGTTTTTAATAAAAAGTAAACATGTTTAAAGTCTATCCTTATATAGCCAAGATTCTAAAAAGTAATCCCAAGTATTTTCTAATCTTTCATGATAAATGGATACTCTAAAACTGTTTTAGAATATAATTCAACATCCTTCAATGCACCACATACTTACAAGTGGAGCATATGCAATGTACAGCCGAGAGGAATAGTGACCAGTAAAAGTATTCTATCGCATTTAAAGTAGCATAAAAGAGGGATCCAGTGTTCAGTGTCCGCAGATAATGAGTAATCATAGTCAGGAAATGGTTCGTTATACAAATCACAATCCATCAGTAAAATTTCAATAAAGATCCATAAAAAATGATCAACCTATAGTACAGTAACAAAGATATTAACAAAGTTTAGTTTTAGTACTAAATATAGCACAGTAGGGACACCTAACACAACTCTTATCAAATCTGACCTTTATATAGAGATAAAAAGTGAAGATCAAAGCAAATATAGCAACAGCTTCATTGTCATAACTGCCAGCCACAGAGCGAGATATATAGGATGGAACCTAAAAAAGATCACATAGAAAACAGAGAGTATGATTATCACACAGAATAGAGTACCACAAAAACATAGAGCAGCATACTTAATATTAATGTTTTTAATATTAGCTAGAACCAAGAAAAGAACAAAAACAAAAGTAAGACAACCTTGATCGAGAGGTTTACTGTCTACATTCACATAGAATGGAGTACCACAAACACATAGAGCAGCAAACTTAATATTAAAGTTTGTATTACTATCACCAAGAAAAGAACAAAAACAAAAGTAAGACAGACAAGCTTGTCGACAGGTTTACTGTTAAAATCAAACACACAATTGATGACCTTCTCACAACAAAAGCCTACCATAACAAGATGTACACCTGATGCTCCAATATGTCATTACTGACTGACAACTATGTCTAAGAGAAACAGTAAAAAAGAACAGGGAAGGAAAAAAGGGATGAGAGAAAGAAAGAGAAATACAAATGCGGTAGGCTCAACTCAAATTGTTGGGTATCATTCGAAAATGATTAAAAATATTAGAAAGATATGCTCATATATTTTCGACAATAATGCTGCAAGGAAAAGGACATATGAGAAACTACTGTTTAAAGTTTTAAAACAGCATCAAAAAGAATAAGAAATGAAGTTACAGATACCCAATACAAAATTTACCATGGCCAAAAGAGCTGCTGCAGTCAGTCCAGCACCGGTGCCTTTAACTTCCTATTACAAGGGCCAACAAAACTAGACTGAGAAACCTCAGCTCAATGAAATATATTAAATGATATCAGCTAACCTAATGGTAATAACTACAACTAAAAAAAAAAAAAAGATTAAGCTGGCCAGAAAACAAACCTTCGTCAAAAGGAAAGTAGCCCAAGCAGCAATACCAGAGAATGTTGGAGCAGTAAATACACAGTCTCTACAGATAGAGGAATGTTTAAAGAATTCAGTATCCTGCAATAATAAAGTATGACCCCAGGTCAGATTATAAGCTGTTATAGTTGGAAAACCAAATAAACAGAATTAACTAAGTCTGACAGACCAGTAAACCGCTCCTGGGGAAAATTTATTGTTCTAGGATGTAACATGACTATAATACACACCACCACAAGGTGCCTGCCGTCAACGTCAATCCAGGGTAAACAGTTCCACCAATCACACGCCCAAGCAGATACCTTAGGACAAGTAAAATAAACAGCATGACTTATATTTGTCAGTTGAAAACAAAAACAGGAGAATAAGTAAGCAAGAAGATTTCTGAGAATGTTTCCACGAGTTGTAATTTCCATTACCAGTTCTGATCATCAAACCAATTCCAAAAGTCATAGATCCCATTAATTGTAAGATACTGAAACCAATAAATAATCTTGTCAACATCAACCTACTCTTAATCTCCTATGACATTGCACAAAAGTCATTCCTATGAGAGAACATACTAAAGTAAATAAATAAATAGACATGTTTTAAGTAACTACATTATAAAATGGTAGCTTCCGGGTTATGATACAAGCTTCAATTTCATCATCATGGGCTCAAGAAAGTGTACATTTCTTTTTCTCTGCAAGTCATCAGTCCTACGCATTTCATTTTGCTCTTCATTTATGATATACTTAAAATTGGATACTTTGGGACGCAATTACAGATTCTTGTATACAAAGTTGATGCCAAGAAAGCACTTCAATTTCAGACATACGCTAATAATCCTTCAAAAAAAGAAACTGAATCCATAATGCAGGAAAAATTCCATAATCAAGTTCAGGGACTGTCACAACCTGAAGTACTTGTGATATGCCCGAATCCAATCCCCAATACTTTAAGCAACAAGCATCAGGAAGAGATGAATGGCCTCGTTGCCAAATTGCTACCAAATTAGGTTTCTCAGTAGTCAGTACAAGTCTACCAGATGTGGGCTTCAAGCCCCAACAGTGCTGCTTCTATATAATATATCCAGATGTTCTTTAACATAGACCACAGCACACACGTGCACAAAGGAAAAGAACACACCAACAGGTATGCAAAATTATAAAAATACTGGCTATAACAAATAACAATGTGTTGAAACATGGAATCCATTGGACAAAATCTTTCCTTTAGATACCCAATCATCAAGCAGCTACCCACCCAGCACCATACATAAGAGAAGAAAACGCACAGACTTCAGGTATCCATTAGTTAGCAATTAATTTAATAAATCCATACTACCACATAAGAAGTTCAATATGAAATCCACAGTTAGCAATTAATTAAAAAAAACAGATGGAACATCAAGTCATCGAAAAACCTTAATTACACTAACAATGAATTCAAAAAGTAAATATACTCTGCTCAAATCATCAAAAAAAGATTAAATCAAGCGAAGAAAGACATACCTCTAAGCTTGATTGCCTATTGTGAATAAAACCCACAATGTCTAGAGTTGCGAGGAATGCGCCAAACACCGACGAAACACCAAGGAACGAGGCAACTATCTGGTACGATAATGATCTTCTTCTTCTGCGGCTATGATTTCTGACCAGAGATCCACATTATTTTTGCCTGAAACGCAAACAAAAAATCAAAATAAGTGAATGGAAGTGTGTGTGTATTCGAATGAAGTTGAAAACATTAGGGCTTTTCTCTGTACCAGCTCGGGAACNTTAATTACACATTGAACAATGAAAATCCGTTTTAGATTCTATGTTACCAACAAATCCCTCTACATGAATGGTCAACAAAACATGCATCCCTTCGTAATAAGAAAGCACCATTGATACTTGCATAAGGGAAACAAAATTGAGGAAAAGAGTTTTTAATTGGCCAAAGTATAAACATAACTACTTTTGAGATTATTTTAACACAATTTAACGTTGAGAAAATGCTATTATAATTTGGATATATACTTGCCTGACTAGTTCCATTTTCATTTGTTTCTAGTCTATACTCGTGCATTATCCAATCTGACTTTTGTCCATTTGGGGCTCGGCCTTTATAAAACACCAAGGTCTTTCTCATGCCAACCAAACTATGCCTAGAGTAAATAGCCTTATCTCTGCCTGTAGCTTTCCAGAATCCAGCTTTTGTAGCTCTATTAGTGCGAGTCCCAGTTGGATACTTCTTATCTTTATGGCTGAAGAAATACCAGTCACTTTGCTCCTCAGTTCCTATCTTACAAAGCTCTGCTCAAATTAATGAAAAAAAATATATATATTAGTATCTACTATCTAGCAATCGATTAATCAAATTTAATGAAAATAATGTTGATAAAGGAATGCTACCTTGAAGATCCCATGGCTCGATTTTGTAAAGATCAACATCTTTAATGACATCTAGATCAATTCTTTTCGAAGCTACCTTTTTTCTGAGGTAGTAATCGACAAGTTCTTCATCTGTGGGGTGGAATCTAAAACCTGGAGGAACATGTGAAAATGTATCCATGCTATCTCAAGAATGGTTGACGACCTGCATTTGAGAGCGCACACCATGTTATATTGGGGCTTTAATACATTGCTACATAAAAGATTGTTTCATATAGTATGGGTGAGGCAAAACAATATCTTCTACAGTTTCTATTCTTTATCAACGTTGCAAGATAAACCTTGTACAAAACAATAATGGTGCACAGCTGCACATGCAAACTCTTGAATGAAAAACAATATTATTTTTCATAGGGGACGATTTCCGTGAAGAAAGCGCTAATGAATACGGTAAAGCATCCAGTTTTAATTGCAAATTCTTGGAAAACACTTCTAGACAACAACATTGAAAAAAAAATCCAATTACTTGTGTGTTTAAAAAGTTCAATAGGTCCACAACAATTTTCATGCTTATTCTTCAGAATGTTGGGGACCTAAATTACACAGCTTTCATTCCCCACTCTACCCAAATCAGGCAAGACCAAACCATGATTGTTATTGAATTGGATCACGACTTCGTCGTCTTTAAATAAACCAGCATATTTTTTGTAACCATTGAAGAATTTCATCAATCCTCATATTCAGTTTCTAATCTCCTCATTCATGTAATTTTTTTCATTCTATATCAGCCACTACAAATAGAGACGTATAGGTTATTCAAATTGATATCAACTCAGTTCTTTTTGCTTTGGTCTTCTTATTTTCTTGTGATGCCTCCAAAGACAAATGGAATCATAATAAGCATGAATTAGAAGCATGCTACCTCTATTTACTTAATGCTCTAGAGTAAACCACTTCAGTTTGCTTTTAGTTAGAGGCATTAAACGTGAAAGGAAAAAAGGTAAATGAAAGTGTTTTCCTGACTCAAAAAGAGAATGCTAGCTAAGAATAATGTTTAATCAAAGTTCAATACATCTCTTAAATTATAGAGGTCATTTACACATGAAAACAAATTCATAAAACAATTATGGCATATCACAAACATTTACTAAGTAACTGAATCGAGTATAATCAAGAATGATTTGTTACAATATGGATTACTGCTAACAATTTTACAAGTGGTTTAGACGATTCTAAATTACTTTATCATACACTTCTGCACCCTTGTTTGTACTATCTTGCTGTTGGAAAAAGTTTTTCTAAGTTATAAATCAAAGTCCATTTACAAATAAGATAAGATCCAGCTAGAATAATCCCAGGATGAGGAAAAGCAAACAAAAGACAAAAAGAAAAGGAATTTGAGATTATTTTGTGGCTATTATTCATATAAAAATGTTTGAAATTGCAAAAGTAATGCTAAAGACGGGCACCCCATTAGAGACATGGACAAAATGGGAGTATAGGAGAAGAAGAAGAAGAAGAAAATTGAGAAGGCATAAATGTAAATCTAGTTATGTATATCTATAGAATTACAATGATGTAGGTAAACAATCAGATCATATTTAGTCATTGCATACATATATGGATGAGATCGGATCGGACAAATTGTGTATTAGAGATTATCATTCTAAACAACAAATTTGCAGCAAAAGCATCCGTAGAAGTGAACACACTGCTCGAACCAGAAGAATGGTTATTAAAGATACACCATTAAGATCGAATGAAGCCAAACCAGAAGGCAAAAGAATTAAAAGAAGAAAACAGTCGGAATGTTAAAAAACCACCTTGAAGGAAAAACAAAAAAGAAAAAAAGAAAACACCACCTTGATGATCCGGCACAGTGTCCTCTGACCAACTGAAAATCCCTCCACCGATCCGGGTGAAGCCAATCTTGTTTCCACCAATCAGAGAAGAGATAGAGTAACTTTCGAAGCTCTCTCTTGTCACTCTCTTGCAACTTTTGAAGCCCACTGAAGCAGACAAAAAAAGAAGCCAAGAGAGAATGTTGGACAAAAGTTCTTCTCGGGAATTGAACTGAAACTAAAAGATATTTGTACCCAGAAAAGAAGTCGTTTAGTTGTCAAGAAAGATCAGATCCCGAGGGAAAACAGGGAGGAAAGGAAAAGTTGGAGGGATGGGAAGAGAGGGAAGGGATAGGGTTAAATAAGAAGTAAAGAAAAATGAATGAGCATACACACACACTCAATTAACTCATGCCATCTTTCTTATTCCTTGTCTCTCTTCCTGATATGTATTTTTTTTCTTAATCTCTATATGCATATATCACCTTATCTTGTCAGTGCGAGATTGATTGCTGGAAAAGCTTTGCACCAGAAAAGGAAGGCGGAGAAAATGGTGGCGGTAAAATACTCTACCGCCCTCCCACCAGCAACTGATAGACACCAGAAAAGTGAACGTAATGTTCTTTCATCTATGGAGGTGCCACAAAGAGAGAGAGAGAGAGAGAGAGAGACCTTGATGGTGAACGTCAGAAAACTGACGGCATGGATCACTTGGGCTTCTCAAAGACACACCAGACGCAAAAGAATGTCTTACTTATTGAAATAAGAGAAATGATATGTGACCAAATTTTAGAACAAAATTTAGAGCACGTGATAATATATTATTTAAAATTTTTATTAGACTCTAAATGGTATGACACTAAATAAAGAAGTTCAAGTCAACTGTCATGTCTATTGAATTCTGAATTTAATTCTAAATTTTAATCAGTGTAACATTATTGTTGAAATAATAATTACACTTGCAATGCTATGTGCAACAAATTTTGCCTTAAATCACTTGTAATCCTTGGATTATTGGGTTTTATTATTGATTTAATGGCTGTAATTAATTTGATACAAATTTTAATACACAAATTTAATACATAAAAAATTAATCTTATACATGTAACCTCACTCGTAATTAATCAAATAAACTATTATTTGAATTTAATTTATTAATTTTATTTGTTGAACTAATAATAGAGTATACTGTCAATTCAATAACAAAGAATGATTACGTCAATAAATCAAATTCAATAACATTACTCATTAATCAATATACGATATTTTTTTGGCGATCTAATCTGAGTAAAAAGTTATGCTTTCTATGAAAACCCCTCTAAATCCAATTTAACATCTTCCCAAAGAGGAAAAAAGAAAGAAAAAAAATAGTATTTATACTAATTGATTTATTTTACTTGTTAACTTAATTATTTATAATCATTCGATTGGCGGTGAACTCTAATATTTTTTAGAATCTATAACTAATCTAATAATTATGATAAATTAAATTAATAAATTATGTAAAACAAATTAAATTCCAAAAGCATTATTGACAAATAATCCTATACTCAGATTATTTCTATAAAAAAAATCCCATACTCAGCTATTTTGGGAGTTCTTAAGAAAAAAAAANCAGATTATTTCTATAAAAAAAATCCCATACTCAGCTATTTTGGGAGTTCTTAAAAAAAAAAAAAGGGATAATATCTGTAAGTTTGGACATCAAACTTACAGAATATGATTTCTCAAAAAAAAAAAAAAAAACTTACAGAATATGACTTGTTCTTCTGTTTTTTTTTTTTTTTGAAGTTACGCGAAGTCTTTTTATTATTTTTTTATTTTGGGGGAGGAAAAAGGGAAAAAGAGACGGGGAGAGAAACTTAAACTCTTGATCTCAAAAAAATAAATTTTTTTTTAGATATAGGGTAATATCATTATTCTTGATTTAAAGCCAACAACTCAATAATAAAAGGAAAAAGTAAAACCTTTATAAGACAGCAATATATATATAAAACCGGGAAATAGAAAAATTCATACGCCTAGGAATAAAGATTTATCTTGACAATTATATAATAACCGGGAAATAGAAAAGTTCATACGCCTAGGAAAATTAAAACATGCCGGGATACTTTATATGAAAACAGAGAGTAAAATATCTCAAGTCTCTTTTTTTTTTTTTTTATTCATTTTATCAGACTATTCGGTATTCAAAACTCGCAACAAATTCTAACTAATCTGAATTTGAGTTGGATAGGACCACGAGAGTTACAAAGCTCTGCCAACCGAATGCAACTCTATTCTTAAATCTTATACCGAAGACTTTAGTTAAGGTAGAATAGTCCTTCACTGGTTGATATACGCGCGCTCGGTGGTATCTCAATTCTCTTCGAGAACCGCTGTTTTTTACTTAAATAATAATATAATAAAAAAGGGTTCTATCTTTTCAATTAAAGAAAATTAAAATATTACTGAAAAAGCTTTTTAAGGTTGGAGGGGTTAGAGGCAATAAAATAATAGTTGGAGTCCTCACCTGCAAGCTCACACCTCCTCCTATTGATTGGGTCTGCAATTTTATAATTTTTCTCGCTCTTCCCAACCAGTACGACGACTTGTGGAATCCACTAACCGACCCTACTGACTTAGACGTAACACTATTAAAATTTGACACGACACGATTAATTGATACGAATTAAACGAATTTGAGTGAAATTTTAAAGAGTTTGGATGATAAACGGNCTGACTTAGACGTAACACTATTAAAATTTGACACGACACGATTAATTGATACGAATTAAACGAATTTGAGTGAAATTTTAAAGAGTTTGGATGATAAACGGGTTGACACGCCAAACACATTTAATAAACGGGTCATGTTCGGGTAAAACCTGTCAAACTGTTTATAGTACGTTTATCTATTTAAATAAAATTAATATAATAATAAATTAATAATTATTTTGAAAAATTTACAAGAAAAAATAAATAAAAAAGTCAATAAAAAAAAGAAGTAAAGTAGTAGTTGAAAGACAAAGGAGAAGAGTTGGAGAGCACTTCAAAGACAAAGATAAACAAATGTATTTTATTTTTGTCCCACATTAAAAATGAGAGGAGATGTGGAGGATTGAATTGCCTATAAAAGACAATGACCTCTTCCTTTTATTTTTAAAACCTTCAAATTTTATTTTTCAAAGACAAAGGAGAGGAGTTGTAGAACANGACAATGACCTCTTCCTTTTATTTTTAAAACCTTCAAATTTTATTTTTCAAAGACAAAGGAGAGGAGTTGTAGAACACTTCAAAGACAAAAGAAAATCAATATTTTTTATTTTTGTCCCACATTGAAAAACGAGGGGAGATGGGG